TCTCCGAGCAGGCTGGCCTCTTTTGATTTGTCAAGAATAGCCGATACAGATGCATTCAAGGGAGTATATTGGTTCCTATCGCGATTGCGACGAGGAACTGGGGCATAAGACTTTTTGGGCTCATAGAGCGGCTTCTTCCCTTTTCGCTGATCGTCGGGAGCCCATTTGCGATCAACTCTCATTCTTTCTTCCCGACCAGGCGCACTGCCTGGGGTACCGCGATCGCCGCGATCGCCGCGATGGAGTGCCGCTATAGAACTTTCAATACGGAGATACTTCTCCGCAAGATTGTAAAAACGGGTGAGGGAAACATCATCCTCAGCCTGTAGCTTTTTCCACAGGTCGGTCTGTGGATGAACTGCTGCAATGATGAGAGTCCGAATAGACTCCTCGGGAGTGTGAGCTATTTTGTTGAGTTCTCTGTGGAATCTGTCTATATATGATTGGAGGGATTCATCCCTCTCTTGCCTTATGTTGCTGAGGTAGCTCAAAGGCATTGAGAACTTTCTGTTCGCTTGGAAGTGTCTCAGGAACATCGTGCTCATCTGAGGCCACGAGCTGATCGATCCTGCTAGGAGCGACCTGAGCCACCTTTTGGCATGAGAGGTTAAGGTCAATGCCAAACATCGACATTTTGCCAAAAAAGGGAGACGCCGATACGACCTGCCCTTGCTCATTTTGCTAAGCTTTTAGTTGATCAAGAGCTCACTGCAGCTCTTCGATTTGAGGTAGTGGCGCTACCTGGGGATTACTTTCCGCAATGTGGGTGCGACCCTCACGATTACGGTTGAGGAATGACCATAGGTTGGATTCCCCCTTGCCTCTGCCGACAGTCCCGACCAATCTTAACACACGCTGGCTAGAGTCGTGTGATGGCGTTGCATTATTCGGGGAACTTTCGCGACCTCCGCGGTGGTGCAAACCGACCCGCGGAGTGTGGTAGCTTCCCTCACGATGATCAGGATCGATCTGGCGGTAATGAGAATTGCCCCGCCCAGCACTTTTGTAGGGGTTTTCACGTGACGTGGCGTGGGATGGCTCGGGTTGTACCCTTTCATCGAGTCTCAACGCCACAAGTATCTACTAGGGGTTTGGTAGGCATTCGCCGGGCCTTTTGAGCTTTTAGGCCCATTCGCCACTTGCTTACCCTTTCTTCAACGCGCTGCAATGCTCGCAGCACGGGCTATCGCCCTTTGCCGCGCTTTTGCATGACCTGCAGGTGTTTTTGGCGGTTACACAGCCTCATTCGACTTGGGCGGTACATCCTGGTCCAAACGGTCCAATCTCCGCGTAACCATTTGGAGAGTATTATTGAACCTCTCCAGGTAGCTTAGAACGGCAGGGTCAAGTTGTGAACTTGACAGGATGTTCCCCGCGGTAGTCTGCGGGGCTGAGGGTACCCTGGGGGAGGTATCCTCCTGCATTTGAGGGATCCCCTCAGTATTCTGGTTGGTTTTCTCAGGTTTAAATCGGTGAGCCATTTGTTGTTGTAGGGCCGATAGGTTAGAGATTCTCCCGATGAAGGACGAATGCTAAATCAAGCCCTCATTCTAGCGTCAAACTGTTGATGCGTGATTTTGACACCAGCGAAACGCACGTGTGAAATGCTGAATTGGCCCAGAAGACACATGTGAATGTATGAAATAATGAGAGTAAATGTAGTGAGAAAGGAGTTTTAAAGTGGTTCAGATGCTAAAGAAGCAAGTCTTACGTCCACTGATGTTTGTATTAATGATAAGGGTCAGGTCGCGTTGGTTGACTGACTTAACAATGATAATACAAGGTATCAAATGCTGTATATTCTAGAGAGAGAGTAGCTAATCCCTCAAATGAGAGGACAGCTCCCAATTTATAATGGGATGGATTAAGGTTATCATTACTGAGTCTGTGAGTTGGTGGGATTATCCGTGCAAATCCTTTTTTATGTCACATTGCCCACCTTCTAGAGTGATTCACGCGATTTGCTACAGGGATTGGACACGTGGACATCTCCCAACCTTCCTTCAGTCTGGCGCGCACCCACTATACTGATAGAAGTGTGCTGCTTACATCATCACGCGATGTGGCTGCGCCAAGATGTCAGCGGACTCTTCCCGAGGTCTGACCATTCGCACTTAACTGGGCGCCACGTCAGCCCTATTTTCCCAAGCATAACACAATTGAAACGGAAAACATTTAGAGAAGATTCTCTGGAAAAACTCGTCTCTGAGAATATCCTTGTATTCTTTCCTTTGAATTCTCCAGCTTGTAAACCAACAATACCGTATATCAAGTATATTTAATTGACATACTGCACATCATTGAGTCCACTTACGCTATTATCAAACCTGAGGGAAAATGTGTTCATCCCATCGACTAATTTTCCTTCATGTGCTTCCCTCATTTCCACAATTTTGTCCTCCTCTTTGTGGTTTTGTTTCCTTCAGTTTTTTCCTTCCGAATGGATCTCCAGAACTTCTTCCCATCTAAAACATTTCTTCGCAAATGTATTATTATAATGATCTTCACCACCTTAGCCCACCAGACAGTCTCTGATTACTCAAAACTTTAGGCCTGTGAACAGAAAACTTGTGGCAGTAACCTCAGAATAAGGGCTACTCTTGATGTAGTCTAAAGTTTTGAACTTAAATTTGTGAGATTTGTATGTATAGTCGACCCAGGGAAAACCAGGAACCTAGTAGCCCAAACATAAACTGTTCTTTCTCGATTCTTGGTGATGTGCAATAATTATAGTGTTCTAGCCTGATGTTTGTTACTTTTTCCTATAATAGAGAAACCATCTTCACTTATAGGATCATTGACAGATTGATTAAATAGTCTCCTAGAAACTAGTTTTAATTACAATTTTGCACAGAGTTTGTTATGTTCTAACTCTAAAGTCTAAACTACCCTGAATGCTTTTTGTTACAGGCAATGATTCGAACTTGTGACTAAAGTTCGCTATAGGTAATATATCTCTCCGAATTCTGATAATATTTTCATTTGGACCGATAGAGCTGGTGCATGGTATTAGTTGCTTAGATTTTCTAGCGATTGGTTACATAGTATTTCATAAAGGTGTAAATATTTTCCTTGCCACGTTGATTCATTGCTTATTTCTTCTTGCAGATGCTGTTATGTCAGCAAGTGGGATAACAGTCATATGTCTCATTATGTGCCATGCGATATCATCAATAATATCAACAACATTTTTCAGGAAGATGACGAAGAACGTTCAAGACATTGAAGACTTCATTAGAGATTATAGACCTGATTTGGCTCCCAAAAGTACAACTTTTCAGGTGTTAAGAAGATGACCAACTCAGTCAAAGAAAAACTAGGCCAAGGAGGTTAGGCTGGTGTCTACAAAGGCAAGTTATTGGATGATCCTCTTGTAGCAGTAAAACTCCTAAGTACATCCAAAGGTAATGGCCAAGAATTCATTAATGAAGTTGCAAGCATTAGTAGAACATCTCATATTAATATCGTCACACTATTGGGTTTTTGTTTAGAGGGTGACATTAGAGCTCTTATCTATGAGTTCATGCCCAATGGGTCACTTGAGAAATTCATATACAATAAGCATAATCTTAAGGCTGGTCAATGTTTAGAATGGGAAAAAAATGTACAAAATTACAATAGGAATAGCAATAGGATTAGAGTACTTGCATCGTGATTACAATACAAGGATTTTGCGTTTTGACATAAAACCTCATAACATTCTTCTTGACAAAGAATTTTGTCCCAAGATATTTGATTTCGGGCTTGCGAAACTATATCTTGAAAAGAAGAGTATCATATCAATATTGGAGGCCAAAGAGACAATTTGGTATTATCACTCTAGAAGTATTTAGTAGAGAGTTTAAAGAAGTTTTATATAAATATGATGTTTACAGTTATGAAATGATGATTCTAGAAATGGTTGGGGGAAGAAAAAAACCTTTGGTGCTGGAGTGGTTCATACTAGTGAAACATATTTTCCTCATTGGATTTACAAGCAAGTTGAGCAGGACAAAGAATTAAAACGGCATGGTCTTAATAGTAGCGTGGAAAATGACATAACAAAGAAGATGATTATTGTGGGTTTGTGGTGCATACAGAGTACAGACTGGCCCATCGGATAGGCCATCCATGAATAAGCTGCTAAACATGCTGCAAGAAAGCATTTGATGCATTACAAATTTTAACAGAGCCTTTCCTATCTTCTCCGCCAAGGCTACCGATATATTCTTCAACCACACCCATCTCGTGGCATAATCCCTACAAAATAATATGCAAAAATTAGTTTCCTTGAGAATAAAGTGACATTTGACAGAATTCTGTTGGCAGACATTTGAAAGAGAGATAGATAAACTAATGTATCTTTCACTGGTAGTGCAAGTAATTTTGTTAAACAATGAAGTTGCCTTCAAATTTCTTTGGTTGTTGGCCAAACATTGTTTCAACTAAATACTAGAAAAAGTTCTTCTACACTTTCACAATGATAAATGATCCTTTTAAAATTATTTTGTTCAATTTCTATGGGATATACTAAGAAAAAGAGGAATGAATAGTTTGATAAAATGTCAGTCAATTACTATGTTAAGTATGAGGAACAGAGTACATGAACAAAAACATGATCCATTGAAGTAAAAAAAAAAAAAAAACCTGCTTTCAAACACTTATTACTGTAGCTTTTGTCATCTCTACTGCAAAGGAAGGAAATGCAGAAACAAGAAAAGTTATGGCACAAGATTAGTTATAATTCTGATAATTATATAATATTAAAGTAAAAACTTATATATTATTACATAATACTAAAAACTTATGGCATATATTATTACATAATACTCAACTTTGATTACAAAGAATAAACATTATACTTACCCAAACACAGAGGTACAATCAAGAAGAGAAAAATGAATCAAAACAATCTGTTAATCAGGCCGTTGGTTAATAGAAAGGGAAAAAATACCCATTGACCCAGTAGTGATTACGTCAATTTATGCATTACAAATCCTACATATTTACATACATCCCATTCAAGAAACCAGCCAAAATGTAGTGAAATGGGAAGAATAAAGAAACTTATATTAAGTACTGGTATTAGGTGTTGTTTTTGAGCTGGTCCATTTGATTGTCACAGAATCTGGGGAAACTAATAATGAACCACTCTGCAACAATCCAATATCATCTGATGGAATGTCCATCTCCTCTGCTTTTTCTTTATAGTATCCATCACTCTTTATACCCTTTAGAGTCTCCAAGACATCGGCCATAGATGGTCTCATCTCCTTCTCACCTTGCAGGCACTGAAATGCTAACTCTGCTACTGCATTTATCATTTTTCTCACTTTGTAGTCTGAATCAAACCCGAGAGTTGGGTCGACAAGCTCGTGCAATGCCTTGTTTTGGATCTTGTTGATTGCCATATTCGATAAGTTAATCTCATGTCGATGTCTAGTGATGTCAACTGCTGGTTTGGATGAAATCAGCTCAACCAAGACTACTCCAAAGCTGAACACGTCACTCTTGTCCGTAAGCTGGTAGCATTGGTGATATTCTGGATCAACATAACCAGGAGTGCCTTGTGGAGCAGTCGAAACGTGGGTGACATTGGTTGGGAAGAGACGCGAAAGGCCAAAATCTGCAACCTTGACACAGAAATTGTTGTCAAGAAGAATGTTGTTGGTTTTCACATCACGGTGGATGATATCAGAAGCATGGAGATATGTCAATGCACTTGCAGTCTCTATGGCAATTTTCAGTCTAGTAGGCCAAGGGAGTGCACCCGGTTTGGCACGGGGACCATGTACATGATCAGCAACGGTGCCATTGGGGATGTAATCATATACAAGCAATAATTCACGGCTGTGGCGAGAGGTACACCCGTAGAGAGAGACAAGATTTTGGTGGCGCAACCGGGCTAGGATCTCAACTTCATTCATGAATTGTTCAACTCTCTTGTAATTGCTTTCATACAAACGCTTGACTGCTACAGAACGCCCATCTTGGAGTTTGCCTAGTAATGAGCATAAAAAAAGTTAATTTTCCATGAAATAATCCATTAATTGTCAATCAAAAAACAAAGGATATGTAGTTCTTACCATAATATACAGTGCCAAAGCCTCCATCACCAAGCTCTTTAGTAGAATCAAAATTATTAGTGGCCTCTTCAAGTTCATTATAGGTGAAGAGCTGAACTCCAGGGAAGTCATCTCCCTTCTCAAGATCTGCTACAGAAGAGGAATTAGAATAAACGCTGCGGGACACATAGGATGAGGGAGCTTGTTTCTTTTTATTGCGACGAACATAGAAAAGGCAAGCAACAGCCATTAAACCCATGCCTACGAAAGCTGCGCCGAAACCTGTTCAGGGAAGTAAGAAAAATAAGAAACTTCTGAATTGTAAATCTGATGAAATTTTGATATTTTGAACAGTAAAAACAGTATATAAATCTGTATTACCTATACCAAGCTTCCCTTTCCAATTAACAGGATTGCCTGAATCATTCACATTAAAGAAAAAGTTAGAAAAGAACAGCTATCATTTGAATAAAAACTAAATAAGAATTTTTATGAAAGCGCGTTTGGCATTTGGGCCACTCCAGAAGTCAATACTGTTATGTATAAAGTTCAGACAAAAATAGAATTCAGAACAGAGGAAACAGAGTAAGAACACTGAAGGAAAATAATCAGTTAATCTGGGTCTGGTTCGGTGAATAATCAAGAACATTAATAGAGGAAACAAGAGAAATGGATAAACTTCCTATAGAATTACCGTCATCGCATGTTTTATGATGAGTTTTATCTTTGCAAAAACAAACGAATTCAGAATTATCGAATCCACACCGCCCACCACTTGCCTCACAATTGCTGCAACTAAGTGCAGTCCAATTCAAGACGAACCCGATCTTCAAAATTTCAGTATAATTCATCTGCCACAAATTGGCGCCGGTTTCTACATTCAGAGGTGCGTAAACAGAAGACTGGCACGACTCAAGAGAATAATTCACAAGCATTTCCTTGTGAAAAGCAGCAAAAGAATAGTAGTGTGAATACTTCTTACCACAACTTATAGAATATGTACCATCCTCAGGAGGCTTATCGGAGCAATTGTACCAGAAGAAAAGATCTGTATCACTAGGAACAAAATTGAATGGAGTACGAGTAAGAGTAAGATTGTAAAAAGGAGTTGGACATGAGTTCTCATAGGCTGCAGAGTTTGCCAGACGAAGAGAACTGTTTTCATAGAAGATATCTTTGATGATATAATCTCCATATGAAATGTTGAGTACAGGTTTCTGGTCATTGCAGGTGATCTCAAAATTAGGGGAGCCACAGTAAGATTCTTGTTCTCCAGAAATCCAAAAAGGGTACCGTATTGTAAGGTTACTGCCACAAGTTTTCGGTTCACACGCCTCAAATTTTGATTTATCAGAGACTGTCTGGTGGGCTAAGGTGAAGAAGATGATGATAAAGACAAAAACACATTGATGAAGAAATGGTTTGAAGGTGAAGAAACAGGGAGGATCCATTTGGGATGGAAGATTGAAGCAAATAAAATTGAGAAATGGGTAAAGAGGAGAAGAGATAAAGGTGCCGAAATAGAGGGAAGCATGAAGGAAAATAGTGTGTAGTTGGTGTGGCTAGGTTGGAAACTTTGAGTTTATTAGTTGTTGAGCATTGCTTTTCTTGTTGTTGAATGTGACTTGAGTTTAAAAAACTATTTTCAGACACAAAGTGACAAACAAAGCAGATTGAAGAGAAAACAAAGTTTTTTGCAACTTCAATTAACAATTACGAAGGTGGGACAGAGTCAAAATTACTATAATATTGTTTTAAATGTTAACTGGATCAGAATTTAACTGAAGAAGAAGACAACATTACTCTGAATTCTGATACTGATTGCAACAATTATAATAAAGTTGAAATAGCCTTGCCCATGTTGAAATAATGATCTTTTGCGAAAGCTGGAATAGAATTTAGAGTGGGTAGGTGGGGGGCATTTGGGTACAAGGAATTAGTGATTCTGAATTAGTGGGCTACTTTGAGTGAGGCTTGGTTGGTTGAACGAAAGTGTGGAAAAAAGACAGAGCTTTTGGTTGGCTGTGCCTGTCCTCATATGCTTTTGGAAATATTATGAAAGGAAAAAATGTATATTGAAAACAATGAAAAGCAAACCTAATTACACTTCATATTAGGGTAAATTTTGAAGTGATTTACAGAGTTTTTAAGAAAACGTCAATGAAATCTGTCATGTGATAATGATCAAATCAAATACTAAATATTTACTCAAACGAAACCCATCAAAGAAAGATTCATTTTTCTGGCACAGAAATAGAAAATTCCAATTTGAGGTTAGGTTGAAGAAGACTTGGTCAGAGTGTGAGTTCAAACTTGAGAAGGAATATGTGGTCATCAAGCTAGGCAATAGGATAAGACCCCATTTGGAAAAATGAAATACGTGAAAGATGAACATAACTCAACTGTATGATTTTGATTTGAACATGTGAAGGAGGAGGAGTACTGAACGATTAAAGCCAAGGCAAATTCCTAGCTCCTTCGCTCATAGACTTTGACAGTTTGACTAGTTCAAATAGCTGACTCAGACTCACCAAGCTCACCTTCTATGAGGCTCACCGAAGGAATCATAAAGTCAAGTCAACTAGAGTAGATGATTATGAATGGTCAGTGGATATGCTTGTTCTCGTCAAAAAAATTGATTATTTGTGAATTAGAATATGGCCCAGGAAACAAACAGACATTATAATCTACAAGTTAAATAATTGAAGAAAAGAAAATTCACAACAAATAAACAACCAAATATCTTAGAAAATTTCTAATCCAACATTATGGATCCATGACATCACCTACATAAATTAAATATTTTTGGCAAACGAGTCCTGTCACAATTTAATTAAAACAATATTATGATATTCCAGAGTTGCATAGACTATTTTATAGTCTAACAAAAAAACAAAAGAGAAATTCATGAGTTGGTGTAATTAAAATATTCTAATCCAGAATTCCATCCAACTATTATAAATGAATATTTGAGTTTAATTAATCCTTTCTAACTACCAACGGCGAAAATTAAGAGATTTCTCAAAAAATTATTGTGAAGAAGAAATCAAAATAACATCCAGAAAAATATCTAGTAGTATATGTCTTCCATTAGTTGAATCATTTAGTAATCTAGATCCCTAAACCTTGGGAAAACTGAAAATATATCGAAGAAATTTCTAGCACACACTCCAGGAGAACCAGCACTACTGGTTATTACTAATTGCTAAATGCTGAGTTCTTTGATCTTTCCCAGCTTTGAAAAGGTTAAAACTAATTAAACATGTTGCAATAGTTAAACCAAAGAGAAATTAGAGTATATGCAACGTAAAGAAATATGAATAAGGAAGAGCGTGGGCAGAGCATGCATACCATTCATAACAGGACAGGTATGAGGGCAAGGTTTGTCACGGCAAAAGCACACAAATTCCCCTGAATTTGAATAATTAGATCCGCATATCCCAGCAGAAGATTGACATGCAGAACAGAGCCGGTTCTCTGCCTCATACTTCACTTGTAACCCCATATCTAAAATTTCTCTCAGCCATTCCAGGTCATTTTGAGGTTCATTCTTGTTCTTATCTAGAGCAGCAGTGAACAGAATGGGGACTTTTGTAACATTGCCACATGTATTGGTAAGATTTGGAAAATAGTCTGGCTCGTCATCAATTGTGTAAAAGCCTTTCCTATCTTCACTTCCTTGTTGACGACAAGTATAAGTATTTGAACCCGGTGGCGATTTATCAGTACAATTATAGAATAAACTGAGGTTTCGAACGTTTGAGCTGTAATTGGAGAGAAATCCGTTGAAATTAACGCTCACGGCGGGTCTTTCAGGACAAACAGTAAGGTCCCAGTTATGATCATATCTTAAAATTGTCACTGTTTGATCATTTGTGTTGATGTCCAAAACTCGAAACTTTTGAGATGGAAAGTTTATTATAGGATGCAGATCGTCTTCACAAGTGAGCTCGAATTCATTTTTACCACACTCCCGCCGCCTTCCGTCTCCCCAGAAAGGATACAATAAATTCAATACAACCGACCCACCACATGAGAAAGGGTGGGGGTTCCTGCATGCCTCGTACAGCTCATCATCACAGTAAGATGAAGGGATGGCGATCAAGATGCAGAAGAGTGTGAAAATCATGTAGTGAAGAGCAAGTGGTGGGAAGAGATTATTGTTCATTCTGTGGGAAGCGATGGAGGTGATGCAGAGATAAGAGAGAGTCGGTAAGATATGGGTTGTATATTATGTCAAATGCTCATAAGATGATTCATAGTTAACGGTAGAGTAACATAATTAAGAAGAAATAGACACGAAAGAGATGGTGGAAATTTTATAATGTAAAGGGGGAGACTAGTTGATTTGACGAAGAAAGGCAAGCCCATCACAATAATCCACATCCGACACATAGAAAAAGATGGCTGTTGACTTCGACTTTCGCAGGAGAAAATGTGATCAAATAGGAAAGGCGGGCGAAACAGCGAACAAAAGAGGGCCACAGTTACATTAATTTATGAAACTACGAATGGCAGAAATCAGTTCCAATCAAGTTCTATGTATTTCTAACCTTAACGTATGCTTAAGGTTTAACTTAATTTACTGGATTGACTAACACCTTCAATTTCAAATTTAAATATTTAATTAAAAAAAGAAGAAGACAGAAAATTGAAAGAGAAGATTATTATTTTAAAAACGGATATATATATATATATATATATATATATACACGTGGGTTGTTCGGATCAGTTTATGCATATCTCAACTAATTTTTTGGGACCCTGAAACTCGAATAGTCAACCCTATTAATAACCGAGAAGTGATTCAAATTCATAACCTTTTGAATAATACTTTCAAGAGTCCCTATCAAATCACTTGACTATCAAGGGATTGGCAAGAGCGCAGTCAAAGCACATATATTAATCCTAAGTCAAATTTGCATTATATTGAATTTTTATTTATATACAATTTTGCATTTTTAATAGGTGCCTGTGAAACATTCCTTTTCAGTAAACACATGCTTACAGGGTTTATTAAAATTATATATAATTGAACTTAAGAAATAGCATTTTTAATCTATCAAAGCATTGTAGTTGAAAAGACCCGCAGCCTCTTAATTAATTTAACACTTAATTTCCATGTCCCCCAATTTTTATATTTGTTCTTTCACTAAAACCTAAAACCCCACATTAATAAATGTTGTGATATGACAACTAGGCTGAGGTTATTTATATTATACCCAAAAATCTAGTTTTCCTTACATCCATTATGTAAATACATTTACTAGAAGTTGATTAAATTTCGATTTCTATTTCATATATTTCAAAATTAAAACATAAAATCAATATATTTATGTCTAATTGAATAAAAATATGATTAAAATACAAAAATAATTTTAAAAATTCTAATGATGTGTATTGAGATTTGTGTGCAAATAGTGCGACTAAAACAATTTATCAACTTCCCAAAATATTTTGAATTAATCAAATTATAAAGCTATTTTATATGTATTAAAGGATTTTTAAAAAAACAAATTAAGAAGAAAAATATTAATCCTTTAGCTGTCTGCCTTTGAAAGGTCAAAGGTCTACTTTCAAGTTGCGTCATTTCCTTGGTCTTGACCAGCCCTTGCTTGTTCAAGATTTTTTGAGTGTTTGAAAGCTAAATCAGCTGTTCAAGATTTTTCTGCATGCTAGCTGTAGCCTTAAATCTAACGAACTTCTTATTGCATGGGCTAATTAATTGGCTTCTGGGTTTGGGCCCAACTCTAAATGTCTCCACTCAAACTTTATCTGTTCATAGTCCAACTCCAAATAATCTTGACATATTTCCAATATTACAAATGTCTCAGAAAGATTCTAACTATTTGACCCAAGTATGTAGGACTTTTCGCAAATATATAGCCACTTGGGGAAGGGTTTGGCCAAATGTTGAAGTGAATTGGGTAATGTCATTGTCACCTACTTCAAAAGGTCAAAAATAATGAGTTAAGTTTAATTAAATCGAATAGGATAAGATTTTAAAAATGTGTTTGGTATAATATTTGAAAATTATATCAAAGTTGAATAAAATGTTAAAAAGTTGTTTGATATATTTTTTTAAAAATATTTAGATTATTTTAATCCCCAATTTTCGTTAATTTAGCTAAACAACCCTCACAATAAAAGCTTAAAAAATAACAAAAATACCCCCATCCACCTAAGCCATTGTTGGCCATTGGCCACTACCGCCGAACGGTAACTAACAGTCACCGTAACAATGCACGATCGGCTGGATCTGGTCAATCGTGCACCAATCTGGCCTTTTCTGCCAGATCCACCGTGGATCTGACTAGAAACAATTAAATCTACGGCCAAAATATGGTCGTCTTCAACGGCTAGATAGATCTAGTTGTCATTAACACTCAGATCGACACACGACCGGCCGTGCATCGTTTGGATGCCGACGACCGACGGTGATTGCTGGCAAGCGGTGGTGGTCTTGGGTGCAGTAATTTTCAAATTGGGAGGAGTGAAAGGTAATTGTTTTTATTTGAATAGAATTTGAAAAATGTTTTAAGTTGAATAAAATATGATAATAGAAAACAAGTCCCCTCCTCTTTTCATTTTCAATAGAAAAAAACTTATTTGATTCATATTAATTTTTCAGAATAATGATCCCAATTAGTAAACAAATACATATTCTATTTTTTAATTCCAATAGGATAACCAAAAAAAAAATTTTAAAGAGTGAAACAAACAGGGTCATTGATTTTTCAGTGGCAAAATTGTTCCTCAAACAAACAGATGTTACTGAGTTCTGTTAAGTAGAGTCTAAAGCATACAACATTAGTGAGACTTCAACTAGGGTATTTTAATCAAATTGCAATAACTTTTGGCTATATTTGCAATAAACTTCGGAAAGGTTATTTTCCGAGAAACACTCTATCAAGTGGCTATTTTCCCAAACCCCAAGAATATGTAAGCCAAGTAACCAATGCCTTAAGTACGTATAAAGAAATTAATGATAAAAATATGCTGTCATCTATATACAACAAAAAATGAATACTTTTAACTTAGTAAGATTTATATCTATATATAATGATGCCTCATATTATTTATCCAAAATATTAAAGAGAGTGAAGTAATGAAACATACCTTGTCCATTATCATCCGCAGGAGGAGTTGCAGGAAAATGCTGCTGGCTAAAGGGTGGCGGTTGGGGACTTGGACAGGTCCATGCGTAAGCTTCATCATCGCGGCAAAAACAGCTAAATTCCTTCTGACTCAAGTTATATCCACATTTCCCACCTGAATTAATACAATTCTTGCATTGCACTTGTTCCATAATCCACCTAACTTCGAAACCTTCCTTTATAACTTCATCAACGGTTAAAGAAAGATTCATATATCTTTGAACAGAAATCGCCAACACCGGCATCAAGAGACTGATATTGCATCCCCTTGCAGGTTTATAATTACTTGAAAAATTTGTCGGCATAATAAAGTAAGCACCGCGAGGGTGGTTGTTTATTGGACAAGAAAACTCATTGGGTTCTTCATGAGCTTTGGCCGTTGGATCGCAATCGTATAACAAGGTGGCATAACCATCGTTGATTGTGTAACTGAAGAGACTGGCATTTAAGGAACTATTAACAAAGCTTGAAGGACAAATGTTGTTCTGCAAAAAATCCGTTCTTGCGATGTGTAGGAGTTGAGATTCGAGGTTGATATCAAGGATTTGATACTTCAAAGACATGATTTCTATTGTGATTTTTTCTCCCTGGCAATCTAGCTTGAAGCCTGGATGCCCACAATATCCAGGTTTGTTGTTACCCCAGAAAGGGTAGCCAATCCCTGTGAAATTTCCACAGTTGAATGTGGAAGAACATTTGGAATATCCTTCATTATAGCCATGAACATATCTTGGTACGATTAATATTGAGATTACGATGCTGGTTTTGAAGAAGAAGAGAAGGAAAATTTGGAGGATAGAGAAAGTCATCATCAAGAGGATTTGAGAAATGCTTAGCAAAGAAAAGTTTTGTAAGTGAATGGAAGCTTTCATGATTGGAAACATGTGTTAAAAATATTTATAAAAGAGTTGACCTAAAATCCAATGGGAGTTGACTTAAAATCGAATTTTCCTAGTAATTCATTTCCGTCGGAAAGTCAAATTTTTTGTAGCCCTGTTGTACAATTTAAGGCTTCCTCATGTTACTTTAATTTTGGCAGAATACCTTGGAGGTGTGAGCCAATCGGTTGAGTGAATTTTCTGCAATGATCTTGCCCTGGTGGCTCTTAAAATATTGAATTTGGGAATTCCTTGATTGTTCAGTTTGCACTTTTGTATTTGACTATATCAATTGGTTCCGGACCCTATAAGCGTTGACAAACCCTTTACAGCATTTGGTCCATTGATTAATATATCAAATTAAGTAATTTTCTACCTTCAACAATTAATTAAGTATATCAATTTGCTAATATATATTCATTACGTAGTCATGAAAATAATAAAGAGTTTTCTTTATAATTATTTCTTGTAAAGAAGTTTGAATAGCAAATCTAATGAGAATTTATCATGAAATAGCTATGGTGGAAGAATTTACTGATGAGCTTGGAGGGGAATAAAGGAAAGGCTTTGGTGAGATTTGCAAGGCTTCAATGCTTCCATGTAACAGATCTATTACCATGTCCATGGATGGCTTATCTGATGGGCGAGTTTGTATACACCAAACCCACAATAATCATCTTCCTTGCAATTTCATTTTCCTCGCAGCTATATAAACCAGACCGTTTTAATTCTTTGCCCTGCTTGACATGCCAGTAAATCCAATATAGAAAATATATTTCACTAGTATGAACCACTCCAACAGCTTGATTTTTTTCTTCCTCAAACCATCTTCAAAATCATCATTCTGTAGTTTTAGACATCAAACTTTGGTGAAGCTTCTCCAAAGTTTTTACTAAATACTATTGGAGCAATATACCTAACTATTCCTCATTTTTAGCATGGTTTGGCAGCCTTTTGTTTCCCAGAAAGGATACGGTATATTCAATACAATCGATCCACATGAGAAAGCCTAGAATGAAAGGTCATTAAAAAATGCACATCAATTATAAATAGCTTCAAATATGTATTGAACCATTAATTCTATTCTCTAAACATTAAGTCATGACATGGATGTGTTTGAAGAATATATTGGTAGTCTTTCAGAAGAAGATAAGAAAGGCTCTGGTGGAATATGCAAGGCTTCAACGCTTCCTTGTAACATTTCTACTACCTTGTTCATGGATGGCCTATCCGATGGGCGAGTTTGTATGCACCATAAACCTACAATAATCATCTTCTTCGCAATTTCATTTTCCTCCGAGCTATTTACACCATGCCATTTTAATTCTTTGCCCTTCTCGACATGTTTGTAAATCCAATGCAGAAAATATGTTTCACTAGTATGAACCACTCCAACATCTTTATTTTTTCTTCCTCCAACCATCTCTAGAATCATCATTCTGTAACTATAGACATCAGACTTCTGTAAAACTTCTTCAACATTTTTATTGAATACTCCTGAAGCAATATGTCCAATAGGTCCTCTAGCCTCCAACATCGATACAATGCCCTCCTTGTTAAGACATAGTTTTGCAAGACTGAAATCAGATATCTTGGGACAAAAATCTTCATCAAAAAGAATATTACGAGGTTTTATGTCAAAATGCAAAATCCTTGTATTGCAACCACAATGAAAGTACTCTAGCCCTCTAGCTATTCCTAATGCAATTTCGTACAACTTTTCCCAGCCCAAGCACTGACTAGCCTTCAAATCATCTTCACTGTGTATGAATTTATCAAGTGACCCATTAGTCATGAACACATAGATAAGAGCTCTCTTGCTACCCTCTAAACAAAATCCCAGTAGTGTGACAACATTAACATGGGATGTTCTACTGATACTTACAACTTCGTTGATGAATTCTTGGCCATTTCCTTTGAATGTATTTAGGAGCTTCACTGCTACAAGATGTCCATTTGATAACTTCCCTTTGAAGACATCACCATGACCTCCTTGGCCCAGTTTATCTTTGAATAAATTGGTCATCCTCTTAACTTCTGAAAAGCTGTACCGTTTTGGAGCTAGAGGTCCACAATTTCTGATAAATGCCTCAATATCTTGATCATTCTTTCTAATTACCTTCCTGAAAAAGCCGGTTAATACAATTGACGAATTCGTTAATCTGAAACAGCGAATAATGACACAGATGACTGTTAATATTCCAATTCCTGCACATATAAAACCTGTCAAAAGAAAAGAAAGAAAAAGAATATCAGTGCTGAATATTCAGTGGACGAGAAAAGCTGTTGGCCTTTTTTATATTACAATTTTGCTATATACAGTGGAAGTTGAATGAAGAACGAGAAACTGATTAGTTTCACCACTTTTAGTTAAAAAAAATCTTTCTTTTTCTCAACATATTATCGCCTAGTCCCTTTAGGAGCCATGTCCCTATTATTTATTGAATTACTCGTTAAGAAAAAGCTAATTTGGCTCTGTGCAGAAACTTGATAATGAACATTCTTCAAATGATGCATATTGTTACTCATATATTAGCGGTAAACTTGATGATTTTGAGTACATTTGAACAAGAAATAGAGTGATGAAGAACTGGATGCAAAGGAAGAAGCAGCAATAAAAATTAGGAGAGTTTTTATTATTACCTATTATAAAAAACTTCAGATCCAATTTCGAACCATTGCCTGTACATATAATCGTTTACAGTAATGAAGAGTTAGAAGATAACAAGACCCTATAGATTGATAAGTCAATAGTTAGCCAATCCATATAATTTCAAGATGGGTGATAAAAAAATACAATGAATGAATCAAAACAATAACCATATCAATTATAGTATGAAAATTATGTAACCAAACAGGGTAATTAAGAATGAATTTATTACTTACTCTAAAAAGCTTGTGAACTGTTTACTGTTAAGCCCTTTCATTAGGCTATTTATTGTAGAGTTGAAAGAACATTAAATCAAAGAAATTTAGTACTTTCGCTACTACATGGAAATTTAGTACTCGAAAATTGGTAAAACTAATGAAGAAAAAGAACTGGATACTTACCAGAAGCGCAGGATTTTGGAAGAGCTTTATCACGGCAAAAGCACACAAAAGGATTCGAAGTTGAGTACACAGTTAAAGGATTCGAAGTTGAGCAATTAGATCCACACATTCCTCCAGAAGACTCACAAGGTTTACAGAAACGTGCAGTATACTCCACATCAAACCCTTTATTCAAAGCCTTTCCGAACTCCCCAGCCCGAAGATGATCCACTGAACTCCACGAAACGCGGACTCTGATATAATTATTACAAATACTGGTGAGGTTCGGAAGTTTTTCTCCCAACAGTTGGCCACTGAAGTAAAAAGCAATTCTCTCTCTACCTTCTACTTTACATCTAAACGAACTTGAATTCTGTAGAAGTGAGATCTTGCCACTGCAGTCATAAAACAATCTGAAGAAGTATCTAACGTTGTTTGGAGCTATATGAAAGAGAGCATGGCCTAAATTGGTTTCGGTGAATATTCCAGGACAAAAGTCATCCCAAAGATCATCTCGGGCGATGGTTATAATTCTCTCAGGGCTGTTGATTTTCAGGACTCGAAATTTTTGAGGTCCAGTCTCAATGAGAGAGTACTGATTGTGGTGACATTTGAGCTCGAATCCTTCTTTCCCACAGTACCGGTGCCTGGTGTTTCCCCAAAAGGGATAGCCAATGTTCTGTATTGTCGACCCACATGAATAGGACTGGCTGCAGGCCACAAACCGGTCATCATCATGGCGAAAAGATGCTGGAAGGACGATCAAGTTGCAGAAAATGGCGATAATAACGGAGTGGAGAAGGAGAATAAACTGTCGATAAAGTTGGCTGTACATTTTTTTGTAAGATTCGTTTATGGGATCAATGATGATTAATGAATAATACTTTTTCTATTTGATTATAAGTGTAATTATTTATTTAAAAAAAAATTAACTAACTAAGAGTTTTATTAAAATTTTCTCTCAAAGGTATAAGTAAATAACAATTTACCCTATACTATTAGTATTTTGTTCAAATTTTACTATATAGTAAGTGTAAAATATATTTAACTAGATGACAAAAACACTAATAAAACAATGACTATAAGAGGTAAATTGTTATTTCATATTCTTGAAAGAAAAAAATTTGTTATTTCATAATACCTCAAGGAGAAAATTGTAATAAACTCGCTAAATTATTAGTTATAATAAGATTTTTTTTTTTTTTTTATGACTGGAGGTGTCCGGGCCAGTTTACGTACATCTCAATTAATCTCTCAAGATTTTAGAACTACTGGCTGAGTAAGAACTTCAATAGCTACCCCTATTAACAACTGAGGAGTGACTAGAACTCAGGACTGGCCACTTGAGTAATACACCCAAGAGCAGACACGTAGCCATGTAGTGAGTTGTGGGTTCAAATGAACCCACTCAACTTTTCAAAAATTTCAGAAAAGTATTAATATTTTATAGAGTTTACAATTTTAACCCCATTTAACTTCATATTGACCCCACAAAATGAATTATTAATTAACACTTTCTAATTTTTTCTCTCTTCTTCATTTCCTCTCATATTATATTTTTACTAATAATTATTCTATAACATTTTAACAATGTTACGAAAAACTTATCTACAATATTTTAAAAATGTTATAGATTATAAATCTATAATAATCTATAGCATTTTAAGAATGTTATAAAAAAGTAAGGTATAACAGTTTAAGAATATTACGAAAAACTAATTTATAGTATTTACAAAGTGTTAACTAAAATTTACCTGTAACTACAAACAAGTGTTATAATATACTCAACACCAAAATTTAAATAACTATTAATAACATGCAAAAAGTGTTACCAAAGCCTCATTTTTTTAGTAACACGGGTTGTAATAGTATGCTAAAAAAAAAAAAAAATGCTACCCTTTATCTACAATAGCATTTTTCGCATGTTACCGTAGAATAATTTTATTGTAGTGGTTTCTTGATAAACACTCTAATAATGATTTTTTGACATTAAATGGAATTGGTGCTCCTACTGAAAAGTTGGTTCAAACAAAGAAGAACATGATATATCTTTTGATTTATTTACTTGTGAAATTAGCATTGGTATTACCCATTGCAACAACAAGTGTTGAAAAAGCTAGCATTTTCTACGATGAAAATTATGAAAAATCGAATGAGAGATCAAATAAATGATTGTCTCATTACATATATTGAGAGAGAGAGAGAGAGAGAGAGAGATTTGATGGAATTGTCAATGAAACAATTATGCAACGTTTTCGGAATATGAAAAATCATCGAGAACAATTGTAAATTTGATATTTTGATAGATATAACTTTTAAAAGTATATTTTTTATGTTTATTACTTCATTATATATTTTATTATAAATTTATTAACTTTGATGTTTTGAATCCACAAACTCAGAATCTTGGTTACGTCCTTGTCTAAAAATCTCTATCGAATTACTCGACCACTCTGAGGTAATTTTGTAATAAGATCTTAAACATTTTATGGGATATGATGGTAAAAGAACTCAATTTATATTACTATGTGAGTGTATATAATTAATTTAAGATATATTAATTTCGGTTTTAAAATTTAACATCTAAGAATATAATTAACATTTAATTCCTACCATCTGAAGAAATGATTAGCATTTAATAAGTACTTTTAACATTGTTTTAATTTTGGAAAATTGAAGATTTTAAAGTTGAAGAACCTCACTTTTGACCTGCTTTTACTTGAATAAAATTATTCCACCGCTAAGTTTCCCTGTAATTTCGGGATCCTTTTGTGAATCTGGTAACTATTTGTTGACAACTCCTTAAAAATATCGAAAGCAATTATGAAGACTTGAAAAAAGCACTTCTTAATTAGGATCTTACAACTTTTCTCACCAACCGCCTTTACNGTACATCTCAACTAATCTCTCAAGATTTTAGAACTACTGGCTGAGTAAGAACTTCAATAACTACCCTTATTAACAACTGAGGAGTGACTAGAACTCAGGACTGGCCTCTTGAGTAATACACCCAAGAGCAGGCACGTAGCCACGTAGTGAGTTGTGGGTTCAAATGAACCCACTCAACTTTTCAAAAATTTCAAAAAAGTATTAATATTTTATAGAGTTTACAATTTTAACCCCAATTAACTTCATATTGACCCCCAAAATGAATTATTAATTAACACTTTTTAAATTTTTCTCTCTTCTTCATTTCCTCTCATATTATATTTTTACTAATAATTATTCTATAATATTTTAACAATGTTACGAAAAACTTATCTACAACATTTTAAAAATGTTATAGATTATAAATCTATAACATTTTAAGAATGTTATAAAAAAGTAAGGTATAACAGTTTAAGAATATTACAAAAAAATAATTTATAGTATTTACAAAGTGTTAACTAAAATTTACCTGTAACTACAAATAAGTGTTATAATATACTCAACACTAAAATTTAAATAACTATTAATAACATGCAAAAAGTGTTACCAAAGGCTCATTTTTTTAGTAACATGGGTTGTAATAGTATGCTAAAAAAAAAATGCTACCCTTTATCTACAATAGCATTTTTCGCATGTTACCGTAGAACAATTTTATTATAGTGGTTTCTTGATAAGCACTCTAATAATGATTTTTTGACATTAAATAGAATTGATGCTCCTACTGAAAAGTTGGTTCAAACAAAGAAGAACATGGTATATCTTTTGATTTATTTACTTGTGAAATTAGCATTGGTATTACCCATTGCAACAACAAGTGTTGAAAAAGCTAGCATTTTCTGCGATAAAGATTATGAAAAATCGATTATAAAATCGAATGAGAGATCAAATAAATGATTGTCTCATTACATATATTGAGAGAGAGAGAGAGAGAGAGAGAGAGAGAGAGAGATTTGATGGAATTGTCAATGAAACAATTATGCAACGTTTTCGGAATATGAAAAATCATCGAGGATAATTGTAAATTTGATATATATAACTTTTAAAAGTATATTTTTTATGTTTATTACTTTATTATATATTTTATTATAAATTTATCAACTTTGATGTTTTAAACCCATTAACTCAGAATCTTGGTTACGTCCTTGCTTAAGAATCTCTATCGAATTACTCGACCACTCTGAGGTAGTTTTATAATAAGATCTTAAACATTTTATGGGATAGGATGATAAAAGAACTCAATTTATATTACTATGTGAGTGTATATAATTAATTTAAGATATATTAATTTCGGTTTTAAAATTTAACATCTAAGAATATAATTAACATTTAATTCCTACCATCTGAAGAAATGATTCGCATTTAATAAGTACTTTTAACATTGTTTTAATTTTGGAAAATTGAAGATTTTAAAGTTGAAGAACCTCACTTTTGACCTGCTTTTACTTGAATAAAATTATTTCCACTGCTAAGTTTCCCTGTAATTTCGGGATCCTTTTGTGAATCTGGTAACTATTTTGTTGACAACTCCTTAAAAATATCGAAAGCAATTATGAAGACTTGAAAAAAGCACTTCTTAATTAGGATCTTACAACTTTTCTCACCAACCGCTTGGCATTATCAGTTTTCTGTATAAACGCCGGGGGGCTGGGTTGGGGTTGTCGGGGAGGGTGTCAAATCCTTTACTTGAATTTTCAAACCGCGTTTGGATGTTTGCTCTCAAAGAAAGGAATGAAGAAAATTATTACAATAAGAATTCCAAAGAGAAACGTGATCATGAAAGTGAAGAATGTGAATCAATAAAAGAACCAAGACAATATTAGTTGCGACATAGAAAAGATATATGTAGACAAATTACCAATAATTATTGGTGGAAATTACAAACATTGACCAATTGTTTATTACAATTCTACCCTTGTTAATTTCTAATGATACCTGTCAGAGTTTGAAGAAGAAGAGGCTGCCAGAGTATGCCAAAAAGAGATTTGATTTGAGCAAAAAGTGTTTTTTCTGTATATTGTGTCTTTTGTATGCTTGTACATTGTTCAATTCATACAAAAAGTGTAAGTGTAAGAATGAAAATACAACCCTGTAATAAAGTCCTAATCACATACATTTAGGACGATTGATTGAAACATAATTTCTGGAATCAGGTACAATCATAGAATTATGTGATCAAGGTGTAATCACAGTATTCTATTCCAACAATATTCAAACTATTAGGAAATTAAACTGTCAGGACTCATGGTAAATAGAATTTTTTTTTTTTTTTTTTTTTTTTTTTTTTTTTTTTTTTTAGGGTAATCCGTATTATCATTAAAAGAAAGAAATAATATATAGAAAGATCATAAAAAAAACTAACAATCCTACTTTGAGACAAGCTCTAAGAAAGGAACAAAAACACAAACCTAATAGACTGAGAACCTAATCTCCTCTTGTTTGTTTATCTTAAGCATGCGAATGATAAAAGACAAGAAGAGAGGAGTAAGCAAAGGAACACAAAGGCAAAGACATTCTACCACAAGACATACCATGATATAGGATTCAAAAAACCTTAAACAAGATTAAGAACAATAATACACAATATCATTCCTACCTCAGGACTAGCCTTGGGTTAGGAAAACTCATATTCGTCACATATTGGTTTTGAAGATAGTCATAAATAATCCCCAAATCTCTGCAAGTCTTCTATTGGCCATGGAAGATTTCATTTTATTGAGGTCCATAACCCTATCTCTCATCATGTTCCAAATGTGGTTGTGAATTGTCCAAGCATCTGTAAAATCCCCTTTAAAAAATCTGTTGTTCCTATCCTTCCAAACGAAATAGACCGTAGCACCCAGGTCTTATAAATAAGTAAATATTATTCTAACTAAAAAATAGACCTAATATGATTTTGTTTAGTAGAAA